AGTAGACGAAGTTACTAAAAAAAACTATATTAAAGAAGAATTTCGTTATTTTTTTGAGTGAAAGTTGAACAACTATATTTTCAACAACAATATGATTGATTATTTAATTAACTGTACTCTTATCGGTTAGGCTGGATCATTTAGTGGTGGTGCAGAATTCAGCACAAGCTTAGAGTCTTCAGTTACGTTTGATTGTTTTTATATCAAATTAAAAATTTGTGAGCATTATTTGATTGTTTTAACAAGACAACCATTAAAAACCTTTCGTTTGGCATATTATCGTTTTCCCAAAGTCATTACTAATGTTGCATCCAATTATAATTTTTTTTGGACAATGCAATTCGTTATTTAATGCACTACGTGGGGCTGATGTAACAGATATACAACTATATCACATGACAATGTGTTCTCTTCATTTTAAAATGGTTTTGTGTTTTTATTTATGGAAATGATAATAATAATATGTAATAACAATCCATAAATTATCATTTATAAATATTTTTGTGTCTGGGAAACTAGATTGTAAGTGTTTGCCTTCAACTAATTATCTTACTTAAACTTGCAAGTGTTTTAATTCCAGATAACCATAATTTATGTTTTGTGATTTTACTTGTAAAATAAACAATAATCTTTTTCTGATCATCATTTTTATTTTCCAATTATATAATTTTGAGATATCCGAATTATTTAGCTATGCTTTTAGTTTTTTCCAAATCCAATCACTACTTCTTTTATTGACTTGTTGGCACTGAATGAAATACCTGACATACCAATTTTATTAGGAAGATAATTTTGTTCGAATATGTTAGTGTTATTTTTAATAATTCTTATTCGGCTATCATGTTTATGTATTTAGTTTCAATACCACTCAAACGGTTTTTAATATAATTTACTTTATCAATTACACTACCTAGCTTACAATTAAAATCATCGATGTTTTCTGAACATATGTTGTTGATTTTTTCACTTAATTTACAGTTGTATCCAATTTTCAATTTTTGTTAAAATAGACACTATCCGTTTGAATAAAAGTATGACTATCTATAGATTCGTCTTGGAGAAGAGTTGGTATTATTTTTCCTAAATGTGAAATTTGATAAAGAGCATACTTGGCCACTAGGGTATACTTTTTGAGTATTATTTACTTTTAAATTGTATTTGAGGCACTGAGGCGCCTCACTTGCCTCATCCCCAAAATCGCCACTCCCGAAAGGGCCTATCAATTTACGTCACTGTTGTCAATATAAATAAATATTCCAAAAAAAAAAAACATTTTTTTAATGTCTTATTAATATATAATTTATTTCAAATTTACATTATAAGTTATAACTAATAAATAATTTACAAATTACAAGAATAACAACATTATTTTAGGTTTAGACATGGTAAAATAGACATAATGTACCAATCTTTAACGATTACAATCTATTGTGTGTTAATTAGGTATTTACCTACGGTTGAAATACATAGTATAGTTTTGCTCCACGATTATGTAAAAATATTTAAATTGCACAAAATTATTAACCGAATAAAAAGTCATAAAATGAGCATTTATATAAAAAAAAACAGCTACTACGCCGGTATATAAAATTATAATTTATAAAAGGTATATTAATTATTACTTAGATACCTATATAAAAACAATAGGTACGACATTCTCCTCGTAAAAATAATTAATACAAATATATCCAAAAACACTGTACATAGGTACGTCATAAATGCAAATTATACATTAGGTATTAAAATAAAATATTATTATGATTTATGATACATATAAATATATTGTAAAATAATAATGATGCTACTAGAGATGTCACTCAAAGTGATAATAAACCTATAATATAATAATATTACGTGATTATAAATTATAATTGATAGGTACTCGTGTATCTTATGTTATTGGGCAAGACGTTGCAACTGGCAAGGCGTGACAACGTTTAGTTAAATTACTTTGTTATCTTCAAAAATCACCAAAATCGTCTACATGATTAGTGTAGGATGTAGCTAGTTAAATTCAGATCACCGTTTAATTAGTGTTTATTATTAATACTTAAATTCCCAAGATGCGAGTAAGTACCTAACATCCTACCTTCTGGCCTGGATAAAAAAACGATTGATTCAAAATCAATTAATTTTTAAATCTTAACTTTATAGCATGGGTGTATAGTGTATACACAGGGGATATGATTATATGTGGTATGGATCCTCTCCACATATATATTCTTCTTTGAAGGTTTATTTAAAATTAATAGTTTATACTTTATACCGATGATAGAAAAAATGAAAATCTTATGTTATCAATTTTTATAAATTGTTTTATTTTATTTTTAATTCACCAAGAAGTTCGTATTATGCCTGAAAACATTTGTGATGTCTCAGAAATCGAGGAAAATAGACTTCATATTAGGTATAGATTCACAATTTTGTAAAAAAAATATAATTTTTGTAATTTACGAATATCAGATAGTTTCTTGATATGAGCCACGAGGGAGTACATTACCCGGCTGGCTGAGATGAATACCCCTCTTCGAAAATGAAAATTTCTGTCTACGCCATTAATGTTTAGGTATCTAGTATATGCCATAGGAAAGTAGATATATGTTATATATATACCTAAGCCGGGGCGTGCAGCTGAATGTACCTAATAAAGTTAATTATAAATCATTATAATATATAACTTTTTGTCTTCAAATAGGTTCAAACAAAACATCAAGAACAAGAAAAATAAAGATATTGGGATGTCGTGGTCCATACAAACGTAGGAATGAACCACCTATATGTCCTATAAAGGTTAAAATACTTAAGTGAAATAAAGAGATTACCTCCGACCTACGTACTGATTAAGGAATGCTAAAACGCATGTTCCTGCTTTGTAGTTCTAAGTGTTCTGACATTGTAAGTGAAGATATGACTTATAACATGTTTATGTGTTTTCACACTTGGAAATTAATTTGTTTTTATATTTTAAATATTTTTAAAATTTGACTTATAAGCATATTATTCAACGGTGCTTTATGCTTGCTAGTAACATGTTGTGTTTTCAGTTATTAGTTATATCACTGTTATCGTGTTATTATTCTCTAACGTTTATTTTAACGGTTATTCATAACATAACCAAAGATATTATGATATTGTATTCCACTTCAAGTGTGTGGTTTAAGGTTTCAATTTTTGTTAAGTAAAGTAAAAAGGTTGATTTTTAAATTAAACTTTTTATAAAACATATGTATATATTTTTCTACCATAATTTTAAACGCTTTAAATAATGTCCAGGAACACATTCTGCATAGGTACCTACCACGAAAATATCTCTTTTTCTGAGCACGCCTATGTTTAGCTCATGTTTAGGTGTAGTACATTTTTCGTATATTTCAAAATACATACTTCAACCACTATCTACCCATTGTTTTTTTTTCGGTTTAAAGTAAATTAATTAACTAAATAATGTATAATATTAAGTATCTATATTTTATTTAAATTAAATTGTTGTCGAATTTTTTTAATTTTGTCTCCAACGGCCATCAATATTATTATAAATATATGGTGTATACACTATACCATAATATTATAATATAAAATATATGAATGTATAATTATGTTGTCGCCAGATTACCGACGACGATAATTTGGTTCATAATGGCAAATGTATTGAAAATAATTTATATGACCTTTTTTTCCCTACTTAAATGGCTATTTTAACATTGTTTTCCAAGACGATGAACTCTTTGCTTTTCTATAAATGTCATCTAATATTCTAAACGATCATCATGAACAATGCACATGAAAATGCCAATCCAAATAACTGAAACAAAAAAAAAATATTTGACTTTAATTTCAAAAACTTTTTGCATTTGCCTTCTTATAAAGAAATAGTAACGCATTATTATAACAATGACATTATTTCTATATGTACGATTTTTTTTCCCCAGTTTAAGAGGACGCTATACACTGACATTTTATTGTCCCCGTCTTACAAATGCGTAATATACCAAATTTAAGATCAGCATATCACGTTTAGCTTTGTTATTTTAAAAGTTATTGTAAATCGATCTATCATGAAACTTGGCAGTAAGAACATTATCTGTTTGTATATGGGTTCTTAGAATACCTCAGGAACCTGTCAAACATACATGTGCCTACTTTGCCCCACATTTCTCTACATGTAACGTGATGAATGAAAAAATATTGTATATTATCTAATAATTAAAATTACTTCATGCCTATGTATATTATTTATATACTATGTAATGTGTTTAAATATTAAAATATTATATACATACTAGGAACAGTGACACGGCTATACCAACGGTCCCGACAGTAGTCGCGTGGTCCTTCATGAAAGCAGTGGTCACATTCAAGCAGCCGGTATTGTATATCTGTAGGCTCGCTTGGAAACTCAGATTGCATGGTTGTTTCTATTAAAAAGTGGTCATGATTACGTTTACAGTTATATTTAATTATGATGAGAGATGATCAAGGGGTGTGTTCGTCCCCTTAACCACTTGAAACAAACTTAAATTTTAAATAATTGATTTTCTATTTGACTGCATAGTGTATACGGTATTAATTGTATAATGAATTATCATTATTATTATTATTATTATTATTATTATTATTATTATTATTATTATTGTATTTGGAGCCATGTTTACCTAGTTCTTATAATTAAATAGTGTGACACGATATTATTTTAAAATTACATTTTTGATAAGAGTAAAAAAATCAGTTATAAAATATTCATGCTGTATATTTAAATATAGTACGCTGGCCTCGATTGATAATCATTGCAGATTTGAACAGTTGTTTATTCTTATTAAATGGGTGGCTACAGACTGCTAACACAAAATAAATTTAAAAACAGATGCCCAAATCGCTTGTTTATAATGTTGTGGAATTTAATATTGTTACTAGACAAAATAACTCTCCCCTCCCCTCACACACACAAACACGCTCTGTGATATTTTGCTTGGGAGACAGGCTGCCTAGGTAATAGGTTATTGTATAGAAGAGGCTTAACTAGAATCCAATATCCATATAATGCCGATACCGTGGGCTTAAAATATTTTGGACTTGAAACCTTAAATACAAATTACAATTTTAGTATAGTATGATTACGTGTCTTACACTCTACAGGGTTATGTTAGTTTAAGTTTTGCAATTTTGTCTTGCATTTTGAATTTAAATCTTGGTAAGGCTACAGTCCCTATACAAGCTATCCACAATCTCTCCTCGAAATGATTACATTAAAAAAAATAAATAATTGTATGGTTAATACATTTACAAAATGCACAATAATACACCTAATACTCACCTTTCCGTTGATCTCTTGACAACAGCTGCTGGGAATGATTCCGCCAATCCTGTGCTGCCTCCAGTCATCGTAGCCAGTGACCCCACAACAGTGTAACTAGAACGAGAAAAAAGAACATAAATGTCGTGTATCAAAACGGCATTCATGAAAACATTGCCGGCTTTTATCCGATCTCGACTTACTCCTTCTTGGAGGTCGTCCCAAGCTCTAGTTATGGCCCGGTCGTCACCATAGAACCTTATGGTCCTGAGCATCTCTTGTTGCATAGTCGTCTGCACCCTTTGCCTGAACACGTAACATAATATCCCTCCAACGAGCATCACGATGAATATAATGAACAGAATTATGAAATACTGTATGACAATAAAACGATGATTAATAAATAATTTCAATAGGTATATTATGTTTAAGGAGGGGGGATTATATTATATAATAGTTATATTTTTCTTCTGCTTCAAATGTTGATGAATGTATGGTTAGGCACCGCTGTAATATGGTGTTATGTTATACCAAAACATTTTTTTGTTTGAATTTGTTTGAATACCTATTTGGACCTTTTGCCTTTTGGTAAATTGTCTGATCTTACTTTTTAAGTCTAAGCGGTACTAACACAGTAACAATACGTTCTTATAAGATTGATGATTATGATTATGATAATATTATGGCGTAATTTGAAGATTAATAATAAGTGATATCATATATAACATAAATATAATTTTAATATAAACCACGGCAGGAAATAAATTTAAATTTACAGTCCACTCCGCAACAATAACAATCCTGCTCTGCCTCTTGGCTATTACAAATTTACAACTATCTACAGCTGCGCCATGTATAGTGTATACACTAATAGGTATTTAATATAAACTATAAAGTGTACATTTGTACCTATACTATTTTTCGTTCATGGTTATTCCAATTTAAGTCGAAACTTTTGTAACGACGCACGTAATCAAACATCATTTTAAAAAAAGTAAAAAAAAAATATTATTAAGATTATCATTTTATAAATAAATGGGTCATTACTTATTAGTTATCACTGTATAACGACTCATTACTCATTAGTCATTAGTATATTAAGAACTCAATAAATCGCAACTCATAATTATGGTTATTATCATTTTTACTTTTAAGCATCTTAATTCTTAACTCACCTACCTAGGTATTTTTTTTTCTTGAACCTAACCTTGAAGGTTAAAATTCGTAAATTCGTTTAAATAATAAATTGTATAACTTTCGGACGCTTTCGGCTTCAGCGAAAATTGGCTCAAAAACAGTATCACTGACTAATATTTTAAAACTACAATCTGTAAATTCCCTGTAACCAGCACACATATTTCCTAATACATAGAACTCGTAATTCGTATATGGGTAATATGAAATACCTATGGTATGAGAAGAAATCGATAATTTCAATAACTCACTAATAAACCAACTAAACAAGAAAACATAGGTAATGTATTACTTGAATTAGGCTTTTAATTGCAACAGAAATTAGCAGTCCGTTTTAAAATCAACAACCTTGATCAATGATCAAAGTTAGGATATGGATACCCCCCTGGCCTCCCTGTAGGTAAAGTGAAATGGCACCTCTATAACTGACCATCTAATAAATAAATATTGTAGTGTTATTATAGTTATTAGTGATAAGTAATAACCAATACAAATTTATAATAACTTATTATTAGGTATATAAATTTTAAATTTCTGAATCTGATTAGTGGTTCCTCATAAATTTAAAATTTAATTATTTTGAAAACGAAAAGTTGTGGACGTCTATTAATTATATTGGATTATTTTTCATACCGTCAGTAGCATACACTTGACTTCTTTGACAGCTCCAGCGCATCCCAAGAATGAAAGAAGTGACAATAAAATGCCTGCTACGATTAATATATACACGGCTCCTGTGAACAAGTTGGTGCCTAAAAGTTCTTTGATGAATGACTTATCGTACAGCGTATACACTGATATGGCCACCAATACAATGCCTCCAATCTGCAAATAAATTTAATTTGAATTTGAATGCATTGTATAATAGACTATAGTCAATCACATTACACACTACATATTATTACATTAATGTATAATTATTATTTAGGTTTTCTAATTTAATGGGGTTGCAGTAGACAGATTGTATTTGAAATTAATAGGCAAAAAGAAAAAATTGTTTTTATCATGCTAATATTTAATTTCAGACTTTAATACAACTAAATAATTTTCATCGATTTTGCTGTAACTCGATTTTTAGAGCAATTCAATTTCAATTTTTTTTTAAATTTACGCTATTAGTTGAATTGACGTGTAGCTGTATAGCGGTAGTATAGCTATGGAATTTATACACTCATTAAGAGTTAAGGTTGTACATCACTCCAAAAAAATATCAGGTACCTAGTATATAATATATAATTACACGATACTATCAAATTATGTGGGTCTTAAATTCTTAACTTAATCTAGTTCAATTAATATTTACTAACTACATAAGAACGTAGTAATCAGAAATTGTATATCAATCAAAATCAACATAAATAGAAATCTTTATTAAAAAGTTTTTCACTATTATAAACATTATCCTCTTTTTGCAATTTAAATTTTTATCAAAAAAATAAAACATATCACCTTTAACTGTGGTCATACTGTATAGTATATCTAATATTAAAACAATACTGTCTGAAAATAACAAATTTATAGTTTGTTCAAAATCATTATGGTAATTTATAACCAAAACGAATAACGCGTAACTTACGAATATGATAAAATTGGACAAAAACATGCTGTACTTGACGATGGTTCCACACCACTCATCTTTGGAACCGAACCCCATTTTGGATTCCTGTTGAATTTAATAAATATAAAATCATTATACAATTATTGATATCTGTTATAGATACAATTATAATATATTTGGCATGTTACAAAGATAAAAATAAGTATAAATGAGTAAATAAGTAGATATTAAATCAAGAGATAAATAGTTAAATTTTTTTTATACTTGTGTAGAAGAAAAATACATTATCACAAAACTTCATTTTAAAATATAAATATTTAAATATTTTTGTAATATATGATATTAATCTAAAATTACTCAAAAATCATAAAAAAAAAGATTTTACTTGAGTATTACAAGGACCTGAGAGAGGAAACAAATATTGTGACCCCTTAATTATATACAATACATTACATACATACGTTGACAATACATTTTAGTTGTCAGTCACTAATTGCAGTGGAACTCATTTGGTATATTAAAAAAAATTATTACTTCGCAGTATTTTAAATGTAGTACTAACCTAATTCTGGTGTTTGAGTAAAACTATGACCAGTAATAAATTAATTATACGATCAATAAAATATATAAACCGTAGATAACCATTATTTTTTAAGCAATTTGATAAAATGTTCACAACTGTTTCGATTAATAACATTCCGTTATGAGGGCAATCACCTCAACACCCCGAGGTAAAAATTAAAAATTGAAAATTGTTTGGCATTATGTTTAATTTCATATTCATAATTTAAATATTAACTCCAAACTATACTTTACAGCTAATTGGGTAAAATGTATTAATTTCTCATAATTTTAAAAAGACTACCTACATTTTAAATTATTTTTCAAAATGGTAAAATAATTGGTCTTAATAAAGAGCTATGATTCATTTTGAAATTCTTAAATATTGTTTGAAGTTAACAATGATGTCCTTTATTGTAATTTTGTTATTTGTTATTACATTGTAAGAATTCGATCTACATATTTTTATGTTTCAAATTACCCATTTCTCGTAAAAAATATTTTTAGTTTTTCATGTTTGTATGGATGGTACTAGATGTAAGTAGGAAAAGTTCCTTCTAAAGACCTAAAGTTTACCTAGCTTGGTAAGTCGGTTTGATACCAATAATTTGGTGAATTTCAGTAGGTACTCTCAAAAGTATTTCTACCCATGAAATGCAGCAAATCCCTCCATCTCAAAAATACATTTTGTTACCACATTATCTACTTATAATAATTATTTTATAGTCTTATATTTTGTGCCTGGTAAGTTAAACTCATATTTTAGGTTAAATGTCAATGATAACTGTGTTATGAAATAAACTCTAGCCATTAACTTATGTATTTTCTAAGGTACATTATACGCATGCCTTTATTAATAAGTTTATAGCAAATAATTCATGTAATATATATCCTTAATCATTAATTCGTGTAACGACACGCTAATCATGGGTAAAGGTATAGTGGTATACTGGCATACAAGTATACAACACTGCACCACAAATCAAGGTACTACACTATAATACCTTTCATACCAGCATCGTCATCGGACGTCGATAAATGATTATTGTTGGAAATGAGGTTGGTTTTCATTAAAAATCTAGCAAAATATAAAACGGCCGACTTGTATGAAAAATCCATGTTCAGCTTATTTCATAACACAGCTTTTACTTGCAGAGTTTCAACTTATAATTTATTTAATATAGGTATCTGAATTTCTATTCATAATACCTAATTCATTAAAATAAATTTAAAACATTAAGTGGTTTGTTTGATTACCTATATGAAATCAATATATTTTAAAGTACATTGTGAAATTATATCTAAACTATATAGATTTATTAATTTTAAATATTCGAGTCTATTCAACTGCCTAATGTGGTAGGACATTTGAGTATAAGTGATAGTTTTGAAATCAAGTAAGAATTCGAGTAATCATTTAAACGAAATAACGAGATTCAAATTAACGAGGGATCTTCGGTGGTGATTTGAGAGTATCCGCTCTGTAGTCTGTATACGATTATGGAACAGATACAAATAACATCAGAGTTAATATTAATAATGTCTGTAATAAATGATATCCAGCCGTCTCTACACTCGAGTAAAGACATAATTTGTGAAATTCCAAGGTTTGTCGGGTCGGCTGATTATTTTGTTTTCCATCAAACAAAGTTATAAGCAAATTAAAAAATGATCTTCGACTACAATGGTATAACGTTCAGGGACATTCCTCAAGAAAGCGGGGTTAGCTATTAACTTAATAGTATTACAGTTCGTGCCGCGCCGCGAATCGACGACTGCAATGACGAATTGACGACAACCACGATGGTCTTCCGCGTCACACGTTTTAACGATATAAAAATTACTAGATCGTTTTCATGGCCCCCTCGAGGTCTTTGGATTTATTGAAATAATGAATATTACATGGGCTATTCTGTAAAATATGGACTAACTATGAATCTAATAATGAAAGAAACACTAACATTTTGCATCGATATTTACGTCGTCAACTTTCCGTTACCAATCTATACGATTTGATGACCCGGAAGTACAACGCGAATTCTCTAGTCGATATATGGAACCGGGAGTGGATACAAGTACCCCCTTAGATACTATATTTCAAAGATACCTTTCTGATTTATAGCTCGATAGTTTGAATTCGGTTCGTTAGTAATTATTGACGAATATCTTATATTGCATACCGAATTATAATTATCAAGTCCATATCCATTTTACTAAGCATTTAATTATAATAGTCTATCTATTATATTTATTCCTTGGTATGTAAAAAAAATAACTAAGTTTTCGTTCAAATTTCGATTACAATACGTCAACATTTTCAGAAAAATTATCTGAATCACATTTTGCTTTAAAACATAAAAATTGTCATTTGAAAAACAAAAGTTATTATCGCCACAGGATAATCCTTAAATGTTGTGAAAAATCTAAGTACACGAAAATATCGTATATTTAACTACACTTAAAAATTCCAAAAATCAGAATCTGAATATTTGCATAATTTAAGCATAAAAATGGGTTAGCATGCTTAAAAAATTACCCTGTATGTATGCCTTGTAAATAATAGCACATATAACTATATATAAGATTGCAGTCTATATAATAAATAATAAGTTAAGATTAAGATAAAATATGTATACAAAGATACATTAATTATGTAGGTACAGTACGTCATGTGTATCTATAATGAACTAAAAAAAAGGTTGATAATGAAGAGTGCCAAATTTTAGCAAGGGCCATTTTAGTAACATTAATTCAAGTCGAAATTCAAATAATTTACAAAAGCTTACATACTGCAGATTATGGTCCAGAAAATAATTAGGTACCTAGGTACTGTTTCACAATTCATACAATGATGATATTGGTAGGTACTTATCAATGGTTAGGTTAATACTTGGAGAATGGTAACTTGCAGTTTACAACCTGTCTGACCTTACCTACTAATAGTTATTATGTTATTATGATTTATTAATCTTGTTTTCTCTTTAAAAAGGTACCTATAATAATCAAAAAAATCGTATAATGCATATATTGTTACATACTAACAAACCCAGCATTAATCTACATACAAATAATTCAATTTAACGGCGCGAACATCAGACGAATTGTTCAAACTCGTTGTACACAACTTGCAAACATTTACGAAACTAATCGACTGCATACAATGTTTATAGAACAATTATTATAAACAATTTACCTATTCGGATGTATGGCAATAATGAATGTATACAATAAGAATTATCTCACACGTACACTAACTGCAATGTACCAATACTAATTACTACAATAGTACCTAACTACCTAAGTATAAATTGTTGCAATCGACTTTAATATTATTATTATTTAACGCTTATTCGCATGGCATCACATATTATTTCGATAATACATTAATAACCGTACAAACACTGTCACCCTCAATATTACCAGTGGAACAGTTTGAAATTGAACGCTTGTAGCAAAGTCGCAATTCATGCAAATCATGTAGTTATAACATCTATCAGTATTCAGTACATTTTACTTTCCCGTAGGTTCAAAGTCTCCAGTTTGGACTAAATCTAGTGTTAAAACTCCCATTGTATGCACCAATAACACATAAATCACTCGCTATTTAGATTTTTGACATCCATCAGACGTCAAATATCGAAAGTGTAATTTCACAGAGAAACATAATCATATTAAATTTAAGAAATGAACATATCACTCCAAATCCGATAACTCTGGAAATTATCTTGAGCAAGACGCTTACCTTGACCAAGACCAAAATAACTTGTGTTAAAAAAAGAAAACTTAAATTAAAATAAACGTAATTTAATATATTATTATTAATATAATTACATTTACATACCTATATTCATCCGTATTTTGTATTAAGTATTTCACGCTACTACGGCTATGGGTACAGTAAAAACAATACAACTAGATATAGTAGGCACATATAATATTAAAACACTATCTATTAAAGTAGAATCAATTAAATAAAATGCGTTTTCGAGTGGCGCCGAAAATGCGCTGATAAAAGTCTTGCGCGTTTGCAATCACCGCTCGAATCCTTGAAACTAGCAAAAGTCCTCGTTCTTTTATATAGTACAGCATTTTCATTGCCACGTTCACTTTTATTGCATTGTGGGTAGACGCATTGTTTATACTTGAACAACCTCACAACGATGATTGGCGAACGTTTACAATATATATAATATTGCGCATTGTGGCGTTGTGCTAATTTCCAACTAATATTAATTACTAATTTATATATTATATAGGTGACATTATACGTATTACATATTTAAAGTTTACATAATATCTTAGATATCATGAGAACCTGTGGTATATTATAGGTTTGTTTAGATATAAGTTAGTTAAAATCTCGTTGGTGGTTTTCTGTTTTTAGTATTTTCACATATAGATAAATTATCTTCGTATTTATATATTATTATATTTTTATGAATTTTTTTTTGACAAAAAACTGTAGTAACGGTATGTATAAAAACTGCATCAGTACCTAACTGTATTATACCTAGAGGATTTTTACGAAATAAGGTTTTGTAGAC